AAAAAAAAAAAAAAAAGTAAAGGAAAGCTTTTGTATATATATTCGTGTGAGCGAATTACTCTCGAATACTCGTAGTCAGGTGTTCGAGAAATATATGGCATGCTGGATAATCATGTAGCTAGCTGTTATTTTGTATAGTGACAGGAGAAGCTAGGCACAGGATAGCATTGCGACAGTCGACTCATATTATATATATATCGTGCCTACGTATATCGTCAGCCTTAAAGTGCCTCAATTACATTGTCGATCTAGTATATGGATCCTGTGATTCTCAATGGATCGCGTTTTTCCGTCGTCGATCTCGGAAAACACGCTGGCCAGCGAGAATTCAGTATCAATACTGGTGCTTTTTCTCTAGAATTTTTCGGCGGATTTCGGATTTCTCGATCAAGACATTTTTTTTTATCAGAAAGTTGATAGATCACAAACTAGCTAATTCAGAATTTAGATTTCGAATTAAAATCCCAATAAATTTCATTGAATAAATACACATAAAAGAGCGAGAGCTTGGAGGAAAAGAGATAACGCACGCGGATAAATTTAAAAATTTTATATCCACAGGAAATTTAATTTTTATATTCATTTATTTGAAATTAGCTCAAACACATTATTAAAGTAGCAATCTCGATGCGAGCGCTTGTTTTAAATATTCGACATTAATTTTACGTAGGCAAATTGTTCATGATCGATCAAAACTCACGATTGTTTTATTGATTCATGATCGTGAAAGTGATTGAATAAATTTTATTTTCAAAAGAAGTGGATCGCATGAATCCGGACAAATAGAAATAGAATTTCGAAATCCGCCTGGCCAAACGAAGATACGGCCATCTGCTAATTATGTTCAACCCCTATAGAAGCACGGTAATGAGCATCTATATGCATGTATGTGTGTATATGTGTTCTGTTTTTTTTCCGTTCTGTCACTACGTGATTTAAGGTAACAGGCGGGGATGGCTCCGGTAATTCATGACGCCAGTCACCGACTCGTCTCTTCGCTTCGATGTCACCACGTTATCACGTTGAAAAGTTTCGGGAGCTATAATGAGAGAGCTTGAGGAATCGTGAAACGCTACGTGTAAAAAAAACATATCGGAAAACGTATCCGCTCGAAACTTCCGAGCGGAGAATCGCGACAAATGAGACTGGAGAGATTTGGGGAAACGTGAAGCTTCGTGACACAAAATGTGATTTGCAATTTTTTAAATTCTTGATCTTACGATATTCAGATGTTTATGACGTGATATCTATGATGTTACTCGCCAACGATATATTTTTTGAAAAACTTTAAAACTTGAGATAAATGATTATATTCATAAAATAAAACCAAATCTACACGAAAATTTATACGAAAGGATTTATTAAAAGAGACTCGTCGCAAATTACTTTCCCTTCATATATGTATCCTAATAAAAAAAAAAAAATCAACAAACCAATTAATTTCTTTTACTTTGAGATGATTTGCTGAGATGTTATCTGAATAAAAGTATCGTTTTTCAAAGCAAAGAACGTGGAATAGGTGACAAAAACTGATGCAAAACAATAAAATAACATTCGTCCGTGGGAGCGTCTGCAAGCATTTACATCGTTTCACTGCACCCGAAGGGGATCGCGAACCGCGAGCGGCATTACTCACAATTCCGGCAACTCTTACCTCCGGAGGATCTCTTTGCCCTTCTCACAAACCGTGTCCGGAATGCGGGAGAGATTAAAGCGAAAGGAACGGGGGGACATCCGGAAGTAATAACGACTCACAAGACAATATGACAACACTCATTAGTGAACATGATTGTGATCGATGATGGGTTCAAGTGGCGTATATGTCGGGATATCGAGCTTCGAGACATCACGTGGGGGGAGCCAATGGAGCACGAGAGAAAGAGAAATAGAGAGAAAGAGAGGTGAGCAAGATCGAGGGAACGAGGTGGTCCAGGGACTTCGGGATGCGCCATACGACATCTTACCTCCAGAAGTTCCTGACTCTGCGTCTGGGTCTGAGCCTGCTGGGTATTGTCCAGTGGTACAGTCGTGGTCGTCGTGCCGGTCGACATAGTGGTTGACGAGTGGTGGTTCGACGAGGAGGAGATCGCAGCCGTCGGCTGGGAGGACGGCGCCAGGCCCGCCGACGCCGGCGGCAGGTTCAGGGTGGGATAGGGCGGCGGCGGCAGCACCGGTGGCACCACCTGCGGCGGCACCACGACCACGCCGGAGGCCAACGGCGGCGTCGCGATCGTGGTGGTGGCGGTCGTCATCGCCGCCGGCGTGCAGAGCGCCGCCGTCGTCGGCACGCACGACGCGAGGGCGGACATCGACGGCGGCTTCTTCGACGGCACGTCCTCGAGATCCGCCTGCTGCATCATGTCCCGGTTGCGCCAGCTCTCGGCGATGCTCTCGCGGTTCTTCCAGATGGTGCGACCGTGCTGCTCGCCAGACCCAGCTCGCGAGCCACGTCGCTCTTGCTCTTGCCGCGCTCGATCTCTTGGATGATCTTCATTTTCTGCTTGATCGTGAACGCGAGCCGCTTTCGACCCTGCGTTGGTGTTGGTTTCAGGGATGCCCAATATATAATCGATCGCGTTAATCGGGAGGAGGGTGTGATTGTTCAGCGATCACGTGCGACCGGTCGTTCGCGGTCGATCGGCGGCAATTGAATTCGGGCGATACGCGGGGGTCACTTTATCAGTCATTTCGTGTGTGTGAGTTGTGATAAACGTCATGTGAATCACACGACGGTATACAATGTGCAAAACTTCTTTATGCGACAGTAAAATATTTCTCTCGCTATATATCATTTTGAAGAAGGATATTTCTTCCTGAGATGACGGTATCGCATTCAGAATTTATCGCCATCGAATATTTGCGGAATAAATTATAAATAAGAATGTACAATTATCGACAAATTGATTCTCTTATTACATTATTTGTATCGCATTATTATTTTACGCATTAATGGCTTTAATAATAACGATTTTATGAACTCCGCATATCGCCTTTAAAAAGACTAAAATACGTATAATTCCGATAAAGCCAATTTCAGATACTATAAAGCACATAAAAGCTGTTACCATTAAAAAAAAATCACGCGACGTACTTATTAAATGATTATAAACATAATAAATAATACGAAACAATTTTTCAACTATTTCTCGTAATGTTGAACACAATATAACAACAACACAATGACACACATAACAAAATAATAATGCCTTCGATTACATAGATACTTTACTAAATTACGCCGATCTCAATTGATACGTCCAAATGCAATACGCATCGTTAATTTATCTCATATTTTGTCTACGTCTCCTGGGAGAAACATCAATTAGGATCGATTATATACGATCTGGGCATCCCTATTTCGCGTTTTTCCACTACATGTGAGCCCACGTGTAGCTACAGTTACTACACTATTGTGTCGTCTGACGTCTCCTTCTATTCCTTCAAACTGCACGGGTTGTGTGTGTATGTTCGGGCCAGTGATGTACAAGTGCGTGTGGATGTGGAATGCGTGTGTGAATGCGGAGAAATAGATGAACGAACGAGTGACAGTGATTGAGGGGGGACAAGGTGGTAATCTGGCTTGCGTGAAGGATTCCGATAGGGTGGTTTGGAAGACTATCACAATGGACGGACTTTTGAAATTTCTACAATCGCGCGCCTTTACTTCGCCGAGATTTTTGCTCGCGCAGAAATATTTCCGAAACAACGGATCCCATCAAGCGAGCATTCTAATGTCAAGATACATTTTTTGTATCACGCAAATTAAAGTTAAATTTTTTTTTCGTAAAATTAATGGAATTTGGTGGTATTGCAAGGGAAATATTTCTGGGCAAGATAATGATGCTTTGTTTAAATTTCTTTTGCATTCCTTTAGACTTCAATTTTTCCATTAAATTTTGCATTGTGGATTTTAATCAGAATTACGGTCAATGTAATGTCTGAAATAGAATTGGAATATCAACCAAAATCGTAATTTTGGCAAAGAGATGAATTTGGGTGGTACAATCCGTTTTTCTTTTCATTGCACCATGCTTTTCTTCAATGTACAATGCCTTTTTGTACGTTATATGAAATTTCTTCTGTTAAAAACAATTCTCAATAAAATACAATTGTTTTTCTTCAGTATTCAATTAACTGGACAAAATGATGGGAAAAAAATATATATTAACAGTATTGATAACATACATAAAAACATCAACAATTTCGAAAACATATAAAATTGTTTCAAAACAGCTCTCAATATATAAAATATCGAATACCACACACAAAGAATTTTGAAATTCAAACCAATGCCGGCATCCATATTAATTTATTCACGTTCCAATTCGAAAAAATAACGAAAAATTCGACTTGTATATTTCAGCGTATGCCGAAAAGAAATAATCGACGACAAAAGGAATAAAACTTTCATTCCTCATTACACAATAATGGTTGCCGAAATTAGCTCTTTCATCTTTTATCTCATTCCATTTCTTTTTGTGACAGCTGCATTCATTTTAACGACAATTGAAAACGAAATTGTCACGTTCAATAATTTGTATCAAACACTTCGCTCGGAGCTAATAATAATTTGGTGAAATTAAAAAGGGGGTGAAAATCAAACAAGGGGGGGTAGGTGGGAGGACATGCTGGGTTCTCCTGTCACTATCGCTAGCGGTTGTTGGTTGGCTATGGGTGTCTCGTGTGTTCTGGGACATTGGGGGTTGTAAGAGGGTCGTTGGACGTATAGTATATAAGAGAGTTTCTCTATACAAGAATATTCATTAAAAAGAGGTCGTATAATATGTATATATAGACAGATGTATATATATGTATACGGAGATAATATATATATGTATATATATATGTATATATATAAATACGGCACACACAGAGAGCATGCGACACGCACGACAGGTGGACAAAATACAAAAAAACGTAGGTATCCCAAATAGAATAAGAGAACAGTTTTTTGTGTGAATGAAACAACGAGATCGAGACAAACGTGAAGGAAACTCAGTGGTGGACATCGACTTACCTCGAGCAGCTGTTGATTCCTGATCTCCCGCTCCCGCCTCACGGCTTCCTGTCGCTCCGACTTCTCCTGCTCCTTAATAAGCCTACAATGAGGGTATCATTAAGTTCCCATCATTCCCAAACGATAAAAACGCTTGAACAAATCGTTAATCAACGGGCCGCTGCCCGCGCCAACCGCTCGTCCATAAATTTTACGAATGCACGAGCGGGCCCGAGTTTTGAATTAATATAGTAAACCCGCGACGTCCGCTTTCAGGTTTTCGCTCGATAATATTTGCGGTTACGCGCACGCAATAATCTTACGGCGAAAAGATAAATGAGCGCTAATTAAACGTCGACGTGTTGCAAACGCGAGACTCCGGATTAAGTAATAAAACCCACTTTACCGCGGCAAGCAAATAAATAACTGCGCTCATGGCGACGAGATTAGCACTTCAATAAACTTCATGATTTACTTCACCATTATCGATGCTTATTTCTGCAGTTATTTAAAGCGGTTAACGTTAAATAATAATTTAAACACGCGGTGTAAATTTTTCTAATGTTGTTTTCTTTATTTTTTTAATATATTGTATGTCAAAAATATCATATTTCGAAGTTTTAATTTAGAAAATGTCGATATATATATATATATATATATATATATATATATATATATATATATATATATATAAATCAGTGCGTACGAGTAATTGAACGCCTTACCTAGCTTGTTCTTTGTGTCGTTGTGCTTCTTCCTTCGCGAGCTTCTTCGCGTAAGCTAGCTTGTCTGCTCTCTCGTACTGATTATTTGTCCGTACGTCTCTCAAGCCGCCAGCCGCTCTGAGTTCCTCCAATCTTCTCGCTACTTCCTGGGCACCGAGTCTGACGAATTCGGCTTCCGCCAAGCCCATTGTTGGCTGAAGAAATTCTCCGACCAACGGACGGGAAGAGAACGAGAAATTGGCGGTTGTTAACTCGGCGGGATTCTGATGCTCCAGAAACTAAAATTAGACAGTAAAAATTTGTCAATCAAAAGTCAAATAATTTGACCAAATTTCATTTCTATTTCAATACAATTGTGCCATCTTCTTCTTTAGAACGCGGCAGCGAAGATAAGACTATAACGAAAGCAACGACAGTTTGGCAAAAGTACCTCGAACTTTCAGCGAACTTTATGCGAATCATTTTTGATAACGTACTCCAACCGTCACTGGCTTTAACATATTACAACCAACCTTCACTAGATCGGGACTGCTTCTAAAAGTTTTCCCGCAGGGGCTGTAATAGGACACGTCGCCTTTTATCACTCCCGTCTTTCCTAGTCCCTTGATAACCGTTTCACGCTTCCAGCCGCGCTCCAGCGGCATTTGGAGATCTCTTTCGCTGGGCCTGAGCTTCCTCCGTTTCGCGCTTGGTGTGCCCTCCGCGTTGTCGTCGTCGGTGTCCGTGACCACGTCGGTGTTACTGCCGCTCTCGCTGGTCACGTCCATATTGCTCTCCTCCCCCGACGCCTCCAATAATTTGTTCTTCATCTTCTCCTGCAAAGATCTCTATATAGAGGGAATGACTTTAGTTCAAAATCATAAGTTAAAAAAAAAGAAAAAACGAACGTGATTCCTCGCCCACGAAGCACGATTTGGTCGAGGTTGCTTCTTCTTCTGTATCTTCTTTAGCAAATGATAGTACTTTAACAGAAGATAGTTGTAAAAGAATGTGCAAATTAGAGAATCATAAAAGTTGAAATAGAAAAAAAAGAGAAGAAGAATATTTTATTGAATGTAACTTTATGTAATTTTATTGAAAATAAAAAATATCGATAAAGGAATTCCAAATTGCGCCCGATCACCTAATTTTTTTTTACCTGATTCTTATCGTCATTTTGCCCGGCGGCAGCGGAAACGTGCATCTGGGCCGCCAGTATGTTCGTCCTGAGTAACGACACTTGCTGGTGAGACAATGGCACGTTTGGATCCAAGGTCGGGCTGGGTTTAATTCCCAGGGCTCTGCTCTGAGCCAGCAGCGAGGCGACCGTGTTTTTCTTAGGCTTCGATACACCGCGGCCGAGATTTCGCGGCCTGCCGTCCTTGTGATGAGTGGCGGTGCTCGCGCCCTCACTTTCCTCGCTACCGCTGCTCGGCCGCTGCGGCGAGTCTGCGGCGGCGAAGAGCTGCGCCAAGGAGGGACTAGGCGACGCCGGCACCGGCACCGAATTCTGCGGCACTCTTCTCGGTTTGGGTCCCGGCTTCCGTCTCGCTGCGATAATCCATAAAGTTTTTGTTAATCGGATCGAATCTTCCTCGCGCGGAAAGTTTTCTTCGAAATAAGGACAACTTATTTTATCTTTAAAAAAAAATCTTGGCTCGAAGATACAAACTTTTCCAGTGAAAACCAAAATCCTACGCTTACATTTATAAGTTCCTGTTTATAACGAATGTCTTGGCAGATTGTAAAACCGAGTAGATAAAAAATTACACAATAATAAATAGCGATTAGTAATTTTACAGTTTCAGCTGTGATGATTAAAACTCGCGCTATTAATTTAATATCTATTTCACTTATTAGTTTACTTCAAGAAAATTGAATCTTGATACTTTGATTTATTAAGAAACAAACTTTGAAAGATATCAAAATTTTAATAATAAGCAATTGTGTTGATAAAAATATTATTAAACTACTTTTCCCATTTGGTAAACAACTTCCTCGGTAAAAACACGCGGCGCCTTTCTACTACAACGCGATAACGATCGGGAGCAAGTCGCATTGTGCCGCATAGCGTTATACTTACACGTTCGATCAGAGGCAAGTAGCGATTGACTTAAATTACTGAGCTGACTGAGCGGCTGACTACCGGAAATCGGCGAGCTATTGCTCGTCGTTGCAGGCTTCAAGGAGAGATTTAAGGGCGCGTCTGAGTCGTTGACGTTGTTGTTGGCATTGGTATTATTGTTGCTGTTGCTGCTGGTGGTGCTGCTGCTACTGGTATACGCCGGCGGCGCCGACAGAATGGAGCCGTTGGTCGAATGAGCCGGCAACTTAATCACTTCGACTCGATCGACTGAATCTCTGTACTCGCTCGAGTCAGTCTAAAGGAAGATCAAACACGGCTAATTATGTAATACGTTTCACAGCCGATGCAAAATTAATGCTACCAACTGGCTTTTGCGTGATTAGTCTTTAAAGAAACAGATTTAATCACAACAGTGATTGCGCGTCAGTTTTCTGGTTGCTTTTTAAATATTTCTGACAGTAACAATGATATAAATAAGAAATAACGAGTATTAAGTCTTCGATTTTATGGTTGGGTTTCAAAATTACGATAAACGCAAGTGAAACGGCTCTGAACGTACCCCCGTGCGATTGTACTTCCTCGGCTCCATCATCAGCGACGACGATGACGTCGTGTTCGTCTGATGCGCACTAAGAGCTGGGACGGGCGGCGCGTGCACACTGACGCTGGGAGTGTCCAAGGATATTGTCTTTTTCCTGCCGCGGTTCGTCGTCCCGGGAATCTTTGGACCGACTATACTCGACGTGTACTTGATAATTTCCGTGTCGGGAGGTAGACGCACACCTCCCAATATACTGCTGGGATCGCTAGAGAAGACGTCGCCGTGACACCACTTATATATTCTCGCAGGAAAATTTCAAAGCAAAAAAAAAAAATTGCATGATCGAGAAAATCAAATAATAAAATTCACGCGTCTACTTTAACTGAAAAATCGAAACCGGCTCTACGTTTTTCTTTAATCAGAAATTATATCGTAAAGCTGCAAAGAAAATCTATTGCGTAATTGAATTGATGTATTCACCTTCCTTCCTTCGCAGAACTGTTGCGATACGGACACAGCATGAAAATACAATTTCACGGAGAGTTAAGTAAAATGGTCTTTGAAAGTTCTGTGTCCTTGCGTGTATTTAGAGCGTGCAAAATAAATATGACGCCTTACCTGACGACATTCGTTTGCGAATTTGGCGCACTGCTGACCGGGGTGCTGTGATGAGAGGATGTCACCGGCGACTGAGTAGACACCGGCAGGCTGCTCGTCATACTCGGCGTCGTCGAACTACTACTGCTAGCTGGCGTCTTGTGACTTTTACTTGACTTAGCTGTTCGGGTCGTAAAAACGCACATAATTATAAACCCGCGTCTTCAATTTTCCCAAATCTGAATTATCGAGAAAGCCCGTGTCCTTCTCAATCCGACGCGACTGTCGATCGTTGGGAAAACAAGTTTCTGAATTTACAGGAGTTTTAAATTCCTGTCACATTAACGAGTAACCTCATTTAACTTTAAACTTGAGCGGAAAGAGCGAACTTTAATATTGTGTTACGACTTCAAACGTAAATATATAAAATGATAAAAATATGTGGCTTACAAAACAATTATAACGGTAGATCAGAAAAATTTTGTAAATACAAATTTGATAATTTTTAGAAAACTGTTTTAAACGAAACGCGGCGAAAACAGACGGTAAAAAAAAAACGGAAGATTTATCTTACAGAATACGTTGCCAAGTTTATCGTTAAAAAGAGAGGACAGTAAAAATACGTCTGCACGTGTTTCGAGTGACATTGTTATTCCGAAAGGACTCGGCGATCGAGGATTAGCACGGAGACGGGCGTTTCTCAAGTATCGCGCGATGCAGCATTGTCGATTGTTGTTACTTACACTTACTAGACTTGTGGGACGAGAGGGACGGGGGATTAAGTAGAGAGGTAGGAGGGTAGGATGGCAGAAGGCTCTCGGCACCAGGTGGAAATCCGGAAAGTCCTGCCGCTCCTAGCCTCGCGATGTAGTCCTGCGCCGCCAGATGAGAGGCCATTGTCCACCATGCTGCACTGGCTGGAGTGATACCTGCGAACAGTGCCCCCGTGCATTCCGTAAATCCACTCGGTCCGTAAAATACGATCTTAAAAGGCGACTCGACATCGCTCGACTCTTCTCAGTTCTCGATAAATCAACAATATAAAAAAAAGTACAATTTTCTACAAGTAATATCGTTCTAAATAAACAAGTTCGAAGCTTCTAGTGGAATCTTCGGAGTCTTCTAAAAATAATGATAGACAAAAAAAGAAAGTAAAAATTTTTAATCTTAATTTGTTTACGAGAAAACTGAAGCAAACTGTACGCAAATGTTTTTAATAATGTTGACTTAAATTGGCATTAAGCTGCTATTAAAAACTAAGCAAGCGCCTTGAAAAAATAATTTTTTTAACTGCGTTAAACTACCAAAAGAGCAATTTTAAATTGTTGTATCAACATATGACGCTGCGTTCACCTCAAATATCGCGTTAGCCAAGTAGCGATCCCAAATTATCACGAAAGCAAGCCGTGCAAGAAATACGCTTTCAAGAAGGTGCAATGTTAGTTCCAATGACGTGTACGGTCGTGATAATCGATGAGACTTTAGACGGCGTTAAGGCGGATTGAAGTTACAACGCCCGGGAGAAAGGTAGGAGAAGAAGAGACGAAGAGTGAGGGGCTGGCGGAAAATTTACTTACCTAGACTCGCAGCTTGAGTGGCAGCCACGCCGAGCGTACCGAGGCTGCTGTGAGAATACGGCGACGGGGGTGGCGCCGAGGCCGGAGTGTGGCCCCCGAAGCCAGGCGCTGAACCCCCTCGGCCCAGAATAGCGTATGGCAAATGGTGGGCCCCCAAGCCATAGCCACCCGGTATCCCACCGAAGAGAGACGACGCCGCGCTGTCGCCTCGAGGCCAGTATGCTAAAATTAAAATCGGAAGAATTGCGTGAACGGGCGAATCTGTGAATCGAAGGCGCTCTTACGCGAGCCGCGTGTCGATGAATAAAGCTAACAATGCCAGCGGCGTCAATGAAATCAATGAAAATGATGACACATGGAGATCTCGGAACGAAAATACTGAAAGAAAAAAATTCCGATTTGGATAATTTTCAAAGTCGTTCACACATCGCGAGCATCAAATTCGCACAAACGATACTGCAATCTCTGTTCGCTGCGATGCAAAGTTATGCGCGCTCTGTGGAATCCTAATTCTATGTTATTCTATTCAATGACGCTGACCCCTTTCGTTATATTATGCGAAATACAATGCACGATAACTGTTCTGCATAGATTGGCACACACATTGATCCTAGCATACTATTATTGCTTCAAAGCCTTGCGGCGATTTGAGTAAATTAATTAATTATCTGGGAGCAATGTATGCTATTTGTTTATGTGATAATGTCGCGGAGTAATGATGTTAATTTATTATAATCTACACGCAATAAAATATATTTACGTGATTCACAAAAAAAAAAAAAAACGTGCGTAAATGTTGCACGCCATAAATAAATACATCACTCGATATAGGAAGTAATTTCATTATGAAATCGTAAATGTTTGCAGAGCTCAGAATTGTTAAATACATCGCGATAATTTTGCGAAATATTATTCCCGCTGACGTAAAATATTTTGAATATGCAAAATAAAGCGAAAGTATTCGCGTAATAAGCGCGAATGCCTGTTTCATTTAATTATAAATTTTTTAATTATAAATTAAGCTCGCACAAAGGCAACAAGATAAGCCGATTTTCATTCTTCTTGGGTCTCGCAATTAAAACACCGATTAAACTGTATTATCACGTTAACAGTTATGTGAGAATAATAACGACAATGAAGTGTTCTGTAACGCGCAAGAGCGCGCGCGGGTAAGTGATATAATTGAGTAAATCGTGCATGCATGTTGTAATTTTAGAAATTAAGTGCACGTATCCACCTAGTATAGACGCGATGAAAATAATTCACGGGTGCCACAAGGACTCGTTATAATAATATCAATCGTACCGACTTTAGCAAAAATTAATCATCCCGTTGAAACGATGTAAATTAGCAATTCAGCTACATTCAAACAACGAATATACAAATCAGATTTTCTTTTCATCGAGATCTCTCGTATTTTAAGAAAAAATATTTCGATACTTCAAGAGAAAAAAAAAATAGAGAGCTTCTGTCGCCTAACAAATATGCAACGACACACAACTTTTCCCTAAAAGTTTGATTTGATTGGGTGGATTATCGCGAAAAGGCGAACTCTTTTAGCCACTCGATCTCACGACGTTAGTTTTGCGAATGGCGGTACTCGATCATTTGCGCCGAGTTTGTGCAATTTATTGTTGCGAACGCCGGTGCAAATGTACCGTTGATTTTCTACGAGTGCGACGGCCTTGAGCAAGGCCGTGGCATTGAAATCCGAGCGCCGCTTTAATTTATACCGGTCGTTGAACTCCGCACTCCGGCTTATACGACTGCTTCACCCAGTGAACAACCGTCGCCGCCGCAGCCGCATAATGGTTTACGTGCATACGTACGTGTTTACAATGCGCCGCCGTGGATGCAATAAACGAGATATGTAGAATCGAAGTTACGTTCACCATCGATTATCCCAACAGTCTTTAAACATTCTTGCGAAACGCCGGCAATCGCGCGTGCCTTCGATATTTTGAAATAAAAAATTTGTTTCCTTTCTTCACGTACTTTTTTCGTTTTTTTCGTTTTTTTTTTTTTTTT